TGTGTGTGTGTGTGTGTGTGTGTGTGTGTGTGTGTGTGTGTGTGTGTGTGTGTGTGTGTGTGTGTGTGTGTGTCAAAATCATAAATAATATGAAATGAAAGGCAGCAGAGACTGTTTCTTATTTCTTTAACAATCCAACTTTTATCATTTTCTTAAACGTCCACAGTGATCCTACATTTTTTACTTAGTCTTAAACTTTAGAACCCGTACACTGAGGCCTGTAAAATCCATCCATCCTTTTATGGTTTGTCTGTGGTTGGGTCACAGAGGCAACAGGTCCAGGAGAGAAACTCAGACATCCCTCTCCTCAATGACTCCCAGGCTCCTTCTAGGAGATCCCAAGGCAGTTGGAAACATACTTTTCCCCCCCAATTTATTACATTACATTTCAATACTATATTTAAAAATGTTACAATTTAGAGAACTTAATGTTATAAATGTTTTTATAATAAGTTTTCGTCATAAATTCAACAAAATTTCTGCTTGAATTTGAACAAATCATAAAGGTTTTATACATTTAAATTAAAAACCACTATTAAAAAAATAAAATGTATACAATACTTTTAATAATGTCATTGCTTTAGACAGTATTTTCTTTAAAAAAATGTAATATCTGCAGGTAAAACTGTTAATAAAACTTGATTCTTAAATTAAACTCATTCAAACATCATCAACAACAAAGAAGAACATTTATTTCTTAAAGACTTCATGTTTTTTTTTTTTGTCCCAACACAGACTCATGAGGCAGGCCAGAAAACTCCATCTGGGTTTTCCGAGAGAGAAAACAAAACAAATAATAAAAAATAAAAAAATGGATCAGAAGCCTTTGAAATGAGTCTTTACAGATCAACCTAATAAGAGGCTGTCAGAGTAATTTGATCATTATAGTAAATAAAATGATCACAATAAAGAGAAATGTTGAAAAGAAATAATTTTACAAATAACTGAAGGAAAATACATAAGTGACTGACTATGCATTTTTAAAACGTTGGCACATTTAGCAAAATTACTATAACATGCTACAATATTTTGTAGGACTGTTAAAAGTTAGCTACCGTAAATAAATGATACTCGAATTTCAAAAGACATAAAGCCAAAGAACATGATCGAACTATTCTTTGTTCGAAGAAAAGACACTAAGGATGACTGAAACATTTATTTTTGATTACTTTCTGCTAAAAAATGCCCATATTTATATTTTGTATTAAAGAAGGGAGAAAAAAAAGAAAACTAAAGTTACTATACCTTAGATTTTTTCCTGCGCCAAACACCTGCAGCTTTTAGCGTAGCTGTCTGAAGTGTCCAGCTGCTCTACTTTAGGTTCCAGCAGCCGGTTATATGAGAACGCCAACATCAACTGCATTGAAAATACAAGCATATTATTTAATAAAAAATATATAATTCAATTCCTTAACTCTTTTTGTCTCAATATTTTGAAACATTGTTCCATTCCTAAACTAGAAAAGTCCTTATCACTTATAAAATGTACACTATATATTAATTATTTATTTAAAAAGTGATAAAAATGTCATAAAAAAGCTTTCAACACAAAAAGGAAGCTACCTGCCAAGTCATAGTGCAAAACTATAGCTATAGTTTTATTGTACAAAAAGAAAAAAAATGTTAGGGATAGATATTAGTTTGAAAGATTCCACTTAAGAGTAGGATTTGGTCAAAAATGACAAAAAAAAAAGGGACAAAAATAATTTCTGCCCCCCCCTTTTTTACGATTATATTGTTTGATTTGTACCCACCGTTAGCAGTAACAGTAGTGTCACCATTGCGCCCATCATTACATACATGTTGTCAGTAAGACCACCCGCCCATAGAGGTCCAAGGATGGTGGCCAGACCCCCCACTGAGCGACGTATGCCCTGGCTGAAACCTGCAGGGTCAGACACAAACAGCCCAGCCCCTTAGTGACAATAAATAAATAAATAAATAAATAAATAAATAAATAAATAAATAAATAAATAAATAAATAAATAAATAAATAAATAAATAAATAAATAAATAAATAAATAAATAAATAAATAAATAAATAAATAAAACAATTAATGATGCATAAAAACATTTGTCCACTAGGTGGTGGTATTTCCTCACCTTGTGTTTTCTCAGCAGTAACTTTGGAGAAAAGGGAAACCTGAGCGACGGCCACAAACGGTAAACCCAGAACCTGCAGAAACACGCCGATGATGAACTCTGTCAGCTGCCACGAAAACCCGCCTACAGAAAACGGGCAACAACAGAGAAGACTGCTCATTCCCATGTCAAAAATGCACCAGCTGAACTTTAAACTCGTCAGATGGAGCAACAGGTTTGAGCTGAAAAAGGGGTTTTGCCTGACCTGAAGGGTTAGCCAGGAATATGAGGCACCAGATGCAGGAGATGTTGCAGATGATCAGACCGACAGCGAGGACCACCCGGTCTGCGACGTGGCGGCTCAGCCAGCGGACGAACAGGAATCCAGAGATCACCACCACACCACAGAGGCAGTACATCACGCTGTTCTCTAGCTCGCTGAAGTTAAAATATTTTTGGGTTAAGGGAGTCACCATCGTCTGAGGAGAGGACAAGCGGAAACGAGGACATGTAGAGGAACAGTCTCAAAGTCTTTATGTAGAAAAAGTTTTAGATTATTTGAGCTTTACTGCACCTCGAGGGCGGTCTGATTAAAAAGGGTGATGAATTGAGCGGATAGCAGCACAACCACCTCTTCTTTCAGGAACTCTGATGCAAAAAGAAGAAAATGAAATTACAGCAGAATTAGTAAAAGGGAATAAAAATGGATGATTTTGTTTTGTTTGTTTGCACAAATTCATTTCTCCTACCTAAAATAGTAACACATATTTAATTATAGATGTTTAAACAACCAAATCAGTTTACCATTACTCATCAGTTCTTTACCTTAGAGTTAATAAGTACAGTGCTACTTTGATGTTACTGAAGTTAAAAAAAGCTATTTTTTAWTTTTTTTTTTTAAACAAAGTTCAATCTTTTCCAAATCAAAGACAGCCAGCTACCTCGGAATATGCTGGAATTCCTCTGGGGTTGAAGGCCCTTCTGGATGTGTGAATTCTCAGGAGACGCAGGACAAGAGTGAATATGATTGAGCGAGGTGATGGAGACAGAACAGATGTGTTTCTTGGATCGTTGAGACGTCACCACGGAGCCGTAGGACCCCACCAGCTCGTGGGACGACATCAGCGGCTTCACCTCCTCCTCGCCTTCGTCCTCGTCTTCTATAGACCCCAGCGTGTCCTCCACCCTACTGGCTTTTGGGCCCTCATTGGCTCTCCTCTTTTCCAGCGGTGGTAAGTCCCAGTACATAAAAACAACCGCCAGTTGAAGAAGAATCCACAGCAGAAACATAAACAGCTGCAGGAGACAGAGTGTTGATTATTGTTTGGGCCAAAAAAAAAAAATCAAAACTATTTAAAATTTGCCCCTGATGTGGTTTAATCCTTACCCCAGGAGCTGTAAATTTATTGACGACAAAAGGACCAAGATAAAAATTGCACAGCCTCAGAAAGATGTTAAATGCTGGACCTGTGGTGAAAAGAAAATTGAACTTTTATTATGTCATTTTAATAACCTAAACAGCAGCAGAAAAAAATGCTGCATTTTTTTTTCATGTTTATTATTATTTGCAAGACAAAGTAAAAAAATTAATAATCATCACCAAATCTTTATCGGGGTTAGCTTGAATTAGTGGGCTAGTCCAAGAAAAATGTTAACATTTCTAACACAAATTAAAAATATTGTATTACATTTTATGAAAGTTGCAACAAAACGGGAGCCAAACTTTCTAGAGAAAATCCAGTCTTTCCAAAGTGCTAACTCTTCACAGCCCCGTTCATTTCATTCATGTCTTTCGTGGTGCAGGATGACTGACAGATGTCTTGCCACATTAGCAAAAGGACTGGCTAACGGAAGCTGTAGCTCCTTCTTCTTGTTTTACAGTTACACTGTCTGGCCAAAAAAAAGTGTCCACTTGAGGTCAGCCGGCTGTGGAAGTGAAAGCGCCCGCTGCGAAGCAGGAGGAAAGGAGAGCGGAGAAAGTTCAAAACTCATTTCTAGCGACAGAACAGGTTGGAAGATGGCTGTTTAAAGTGTATCTTACCCCCCCCCCCCCCCCCCCCCCCCCCCGTGAAAAGATAACTCTGCCCCAAGGCAAAATGTGAAAAATGCATCAAAGTGGGTAGGGGAGGGGTGGGGGTTAGAGAGCGGAGGTGTGGCCAGGACGAGAGAACGTGACAGGCAGCTAGCATTAGCATAATTGATGCTACATGGAGAGTGACCACAGTTTCGCAGATAGTTACATCTCTAAACGTCTGAGGTGGAGGATTTTGGAGCAGCAGCGGTCAAAATACAGTACCTCAGAAACTCAAACAAARAGGCTTTAACAAGGCTTTAATAAGCTAAACAATAGAGAGAGGTACATGAGAAAATGTGTTCATAACGAACGAAAATAAATAATTAAATTGTGTCCGTGCCGGTCTCAAACCCTAGTTTCCCACTCTCTGGTCCAACACTCTACCCATTGCCCTATTGGAGGCTTGTTGTTAATTGAGCTGCGCATTGCACAACAACAACCATGACAGCTCTTTATACTGAGGAGGTGGAGCTTCACCCAGGTGAGGGGCTGAACGCAGGTTCCGGTGGGTTGTCGTACGGCTTGTGACATCACAAAATGACTGAAGTATAAAACTTGTCGTTAATATACATTAAAAATACATTTACTTACAGTAAATATGCCCCTGAGTGCATTTTTTTGGTCCTAGGACTGTTTTTTTAAGAAGTACATACCCAAAGTTGAGTAAAAAAAAAAACTTTAAAAAGTGAGTTTTGCATAATAGGTCCCCTTTAAGTTTATTTTACATCTCAGAGCCCCAGGACATAAAATAAAACAATAAGTATAATTAAATAAAAATAAATAACTAAAACAGACTTATTGCTTGGAGGATTGTGTGTACTATCAAAATCTGTCAGGTGGTCTAACTCTATTTGACATATATTGCTCATGTGCAGGTTTGAAACATCTCAATACTTCACTGTAATGAAAGGAGTCCTGCAGAGTGAAAATAAATAAATAACACGTATGTATGGTGGTGTGGATATTTTAGTTTTCCCTATATTTGGTTCAGTTGTATATCTACATCCTTACTTTTCTTGCTTAAAATTCCGCCCAACAATYCGGTGCRGTCATTCGTGCCCTTTTTTTTACTTTGAGCACCTGCCCCTTTAGTGGTCTCTGCACGGCCCTGTACCTGAATATAATGAATGACCAGGTTATTCCATCAGTGGATTGTTTTTCCTCTGATGGCACCGCCATATTCCAAGATGACAATGCCAGGATTTATSAGGCTCAAACTGTGACAGAMTGGTTCAGGGAGCATGAGACATCATTTTCACACATATATTAGCTCCACGGAGTCCACTGAGAATCTTTGGGATGTGCTGGAGAAGAAAGCTTTGCGCAGCCATCAATGCAAGATCTTGGTGAAAAATGAATGCAACACTGGGTGGAAATAAACCTTGTGACATTGCAGAAGCTTATCGAAACAATGTCACAGCTACAATCAAAGCTAAATGAAAGTCCAACAAAATATTAGACCTTTTTATTTTGGTGGCAACTTTTATTTGGCCAGGCAATGTATCTTTGTGCTGAAAAGGGACAAAACGTCAACTTATTTATTTCAAATTGGATGTTTCTATTGTTGGAATTTAATTTTTATTATATATCTACTGTTTATATTACATATCCATTATCCCACCCGTCACCACTGATCTTTATCGTTGTGATCATAAACCACAGAATCACTAACCAATCAGAAGACCAGCTTGTCTGCACGCCATGACAGCAGCAAAAACAGTGGCCCGGTCCTCTGGAGCTGTGCTTCTGGTCAGGAAGCCAAAGATGGAGGAGCCAGCACCTGTACCAATGCCTGGGAGGGGGAATAAACAAAATGTTAAAAATTAGCAAAGGTCCAGGTTAAATTCTAAAACATTACATGTTTAGAGATTCTACAAGGTGCTAAGAAATATGCCCTGAAATCCACGCAAACACCTTATTTAGATGTTTCTAGAACATTTAAACAAACCCAGTACAAACTAAARTTCTGAAACAGCTACAGCCACTCTGATGAACTTTTGATTAGAACCACTTTAAAAAACAACAACAAGAGAATCTGGTTTCTTGTAATTGAAATCTGAAGGAACAGTTTGAACTTTAGCCCAGTCACATTAATTGTGATTAAAAACACAAGAGWACTATAAGATCAACTACCTCCCTACCTACTGTTTGTCCTAAAAGCTAAAAACAAACGTTGGTGTGACCGGGCCTTTTCAGTTGGCCCACCCACAGAATGAAACCAATCCTCCTTTTGCACATTTAAATCATTTCAATTGGGGTTTATAAAAAGAGGAACTGCAACGATTTGGTCTGCATTCCTCCTTATTGTAACTCCACAAGCCTCTTTTTCCGACCCTTTTCTGAGGTGTGTCTCAGATCAACTCGTTTTGAGGCTGTCTCTTTAAATCCAAACGAGACCCTTCACACACACACACCCCTCCAGCTCCAACCTACTGGCTTTCTGGCATGTTTGTATTGTTTTTATTGTTTGTTTAAAACTTGCTTTTTAGTGTGAAGCGCTTTGTGCACCTTTTGGCTGTTGGAAAGGGCTGTAAATACAGGTCCTTCTCAAAAAATTAGCATATTGTGATAAAGTTCATTATTTTCTGTAATGTGCTGATAAACATTAAACTTTCATATATTTTAGATTCATTGCACACCAACTGAAGTAGTTCAAGCCTTTTATTGTTTTAACATTGATGATTTTGGCAAAAAAGTAAAGAAAAACCAAAAATCCCTATCTCAAAAAATTTGTATATCATGAAAAGGTTCTCTAAACAACTTATTAACCTAATCATCTGAATCAATGAATTAACTCTAAACACCTGCAAAAGATTCCTGAGGCTTTTAAAAACTCCAGCCTGGTTCATTACTCAAAACCACAATCATGGGTAAGACTGCTGACCTGACTGCTGTCCAGAAGGCCATCATTGACACCCTCAAGCAAGAGGGTAAGACACAGAAAGACGTTTCTGAACCAATAGGCTGTTCCCAGAGTGCTGTATCAAGACACCTCAGTGGGAAGTCTGTGGGAAAGAAAAAGTGTGCCAGAAAACGCTGCACAATGAGAAGAGGTGACCGGACCCTGAGGAAGATTGTGGAGAAGGGCTGATTCCAGACGTTGGGGGACCTACAGAAGCAGTGGACTGAGTCTGGAGTAGAAACTTCCAGAGCCACCGTGCACAGGCGTGTGCAGGAAATGGGCTACAGGTGCCTCATTCCCCAGGTCAAGCCACTTTTGAACCAGAAATAGCGGCAGAAGTGTCTGACCTGGGCTACAGAGAAGCAGCACTGGACTGTTGCTCAGTGGTCCAAAGTACTTTTTTCAGATGAAAGCAAATTTTGCGTGTCATTCAGAAATCAAGGTGCCAGAGTCTGGAGGAAGACTGGGGAGAAGGAAATACTAAAATGCCTGAAGTCTAGTGTCAAGTACCCACAGTCAGTGATGGTCTGGGGTGCCATGTCAGCTGCTGGTGTTGGTCCACTGTGTTTTATCAAGGCCAGGGTCAATGCAGCTAGCTTTCATATTTTGGAGCACTTCATGCTTCCATCTGCTGAAAAGCTTTATGGAGATGAAGATTTCATTTTTCAGCACGACCTGGCACCTGCTCACAGTGCCAAAACCACTGGTAAATGGTTTACTGACCATGGTATTACTGGACTCAATTGGCCTGCCAACTCTCCTGACCTGAACCCCAGAGAGAATCTGTGGGATATTGTGAAGAGAAAGTTGAGAGACACAAGACCCAACACTCTGGATGAGCTTAAGACACAAGACCCAACACTCTGGATGAGCTTAAGACACAAGACCCAACACTCTGGATGAGCTTAAGACACAAGACCCAACACTGGATGAGCTGAAGACCACTATCGAAGCATCCTGGGCCTCCATAACACCTCAGCAGTGCCACAGGCTGATTGCCTCCATGCCACGCCGCATTGAAGCAGTCATTTCTGCAAATGGATTCCCCACCAAGTATTGAGTGCATAACTGAACATAATTATTTGAAGGTTGACCTTTTTTTGAATTAAAAACACTTTTCTTTTATTGGTCGGATGAAATATGCTAATTTTTTGAGATAGGGATTTTTGGTTTTTCTTTACTTTTTTGCCAAAATCATCAATATTAAAGCAATTTGAACTACTTCAGTTGGTGTGCAATGAATCTAAAATACTGTATATGAAAGTTTAATGTTTATCAGTACATTACAGAAAATAATGAACTTTATCACAATATGCTAATTTTTTGAGAAGGACCTGTACATGTTCAATTCAATTCAACACGAATTCAAACATACTTTATTGATCCCAAATGGAAATTAGATAGCTGATTAATCGTTTGGCATTGTAATCTTATTTTATGCTGCTATGTGGGACTAATGTCGGAAATTTAATCTGAGAAGTGACAATCTGTGTGAGCGTTACTGCAAATGGACTCACCTGCCACTAACCTACTGGACAGTAAGAGCCACTTGGAGTAGCCCATGAAGTACATGAAGTTACCTGGTCAGGAAAATAAAAGGATATATAAAATACAGTTCTGACGGTCAGAGGCTAACTTTAACTCTGATTGGCCGACCAACCAGTGGGGCAGTAAGTGTGGACTCACCAATGATCTCGAAAAGATTGGAAACCAAAATGATTTTCTTTGTTGTCTGGGTTTTGTCTGACCAGAGGCCAAACAGCGGTCCTGCCAAAAGGCCGCTCAGACTGAAGGCCGACAGGGCCAGGCCCAAGAAATAAGGCGCRGCATCTAGAGTCTGCAAATACCTCCATATGGTGGGTAATATGACAGCTGAGGAGACAAACAGAAGAGAATTCACATACTTTGTTTATTTTTTTAAGGGCCAAAACATACCCAACCCTAAATGACCCTTTAGGAAAACTTAAAAGAGAGTTAAAATACAACTAATTAAATAGTATTCCTTGAAGGGTACATATTGTCTGCTTTCACTGACTCCATTTTTAATGTAAGCTCGTGTTCCACTTTAAACAAAAGTCCCAAAAAAAAGGAAAAATGTGGGGGAAGCAAGTTATTCGTTGATGTCGTCATGTTGCAACATTCTATCTTATCGCTTCAAATTCTGCTGAGCGAAGTTTGTCACAGATCTGGTTCTTTCTCCCACAAGCAGCAGCTGTGTTATCACACAAAGGACAGCCTTCAACCAAATACAATCGAAACTCAATAACGTGGTCAGGTGACCCGAAACGAAGCATGCCCCTACAGAAAGGAAAAGAGGAAGCGATTACACAAAGATCTCTAGTCATTTTGTCACCCTGACAGCAATAACTGTGTCAACGATTACCTAACCCATCACATCCTCCTCATCCTCGTGTGCGTGGATATTAATGGCATTAATGGGATTTTGTTGACTTCACTGCTGATTGATTCAGGGATCTRGTGGTTTAATGCCTCACTTTTACTCAACCCACTTCTGACTGCGATCGGTTTGCTCTTTGTCTCATCTGAAACCATGAAACTTGCCGCCAAATWAATAGTTTGAAGTCATTTTAAACTGCTAAGTGATGAATGAGGGAGTCTATTTCAAAGATCGTTCTTAATTAAATGGCAGACTTTAGTCAAAGCTGGTGTAAATCTGGTTTGGTTGTAGATTGGGTCGGTGATGTTGAACCAGTTTGTTCATTCTGGACCAGCTTCTTCCCAGCTGAGGTTGACTGTTGGGTCCATCAACAGCAACTCTGCAAAGCTGCTGCTACAGTAGTTTTGGTTTGTCTGTTTTGAACATGAAAATGCAAATCTTTAGTCGTCCGTGTCAAAACTAAACTGAAATGCTTACAGTTTAACAGTGTTGACCAATTTGTTGCATGGTTTAAGTGTTGGCCAACACAGCTACAAGTAAGACAGTGAGTAATTACATAGCAGTGAGTGTATTTGTTTTTATTTAACTTTTATTCTGAGTTTATTTATAAAAACTCTAAATAAATGGCAATTTTTGCAAAGATTTTGTTTTTTCTTAAATAAAGATAACCTAGTAAAACTATGTAAGCATAATGTTGATGATGATGTCTAGGTTTTATATATAAATTGATAATGAAATTATGTAACAAAAAAAGCTAATTCATCTGGTCCTTATAGCTCCTGAAAATGATATAAATAGAAATATTTTAACCCTCTCCACGTATTACTATTTATTTTTAAAGGTACTAAATTAAAATCAAAGTCATGATCTCATATATAGACAGAAACTTGAGCATTTTAATAAATAGAATGATGTAGTTATTATTTTATGTCTGTCATGAAAAAAAGAAAATGACTTCTTACCATATTCTACGCCGCTAAAAAGAAAAATGAGTCCTATTGTGAAGTAAGTCAATTTCTTTTTACGTCGAAAATCCATCCTGTTTGTTTAGGCGCTGGAATATTATGATACCATCCTCCTCCTTTGCCTAAAATGCTCCGCAGACAGAATCCTGAGCCTGTTAGTTCACAGATAATAAAAAAAAAAGTCAGCTAGTCTTGCACGTTGTCTTGTTTTTCTCCGCGAACAATGTCCAAATGACGCCTATTGGGAAACCCAGAAGCCTGAACTCACTGAGCAGGTTTGATTTGAAGCAGCAGCAGACGCACGAGACGTCAAATCCTGCGCACCTCACGTTACTTCCGGTGTCCCAGAGCCTCCAGTCAGCACAACAAAAACAACAAAGTGCTGCGGAAATTTCATTTGGTTGTAGCTGAGAGACCTTCATAACATAAACTGTAAGTTTTCCACTCATTGTACATCTTTTTTTTTTTTCATTAACTGCTGGAGTCAATCTTTGTTACCAAAACAGTTCACGAACCAACGCTTACCTTTGTAGGTACTACTGCGCATGCGTAAAATCGGGCAGCTCGCCCACAAATAGGTCCTGCTTTTCTCATGACTTTATTATACTATGTATTTTTTAAATTATGTATAAATTAGTTTTTATTTTAATTGACCTCAAGTGCAATAATCAATGAAGGTTTGACACAAATGATTTTCTATGAACATAATACAGATTCTTTCAAGAAACTCCCTAATACTACATTAAAAAACTTATTAAATAGGACATATCCTCTAATAATGTTTTTTTAAGATGATTTAAATTTGATATTAATTTCTGTGTCTTTTGTAAGTCAGAAGATGAATCCCTGAATTTTTTTTCCATGTCAATATTCAGTTTCTGGACAGATAGAAACTGGATTAATCTCAAAAATTCCTCTCTTTGATGCCGATAACATTTTAGTTTTACTTTTAGTTGTACTTATAGAAAAATACTTACTATGGTGAATTTTAACTATTTTAATATACTTAATGAATAGTATTATTTCAGTCTCATCATGAAAGCATAAGTTGTCTAGTGTGACAGGGCCTTTAGCAAAGCATTTTATGAGGCTCTTTGAGAAGTATACTCAAAAATAGAAAAATGAGTACAGAACAAAGGAGCAAATCATGTGAGAAACTTAAAACAGTAGAAACCTGGTGTTTCTAACATTTTTCCAGTCTTTTAACGTACTCAAAGAATAGAATTTATGAACATTTTAAAGACATCTGAAGCTGGAAATGAAAAAAATCAACAGGAAGCTTCTTTTCGGTGTGTACATATGTAATTCTAACAAACTGATCAAATATACAACTTTTGTTAGCAATTTAGACATAAAAACTGTTTCATAAGTTGGCATAAGTTGTCTAGTGTGACGGGGCCTTAAACCAGAATTTCAGCAAAATAACTGTTGTTCAGAGGTAAACAAATGTTTGTTGCTGAATTCTAGTGTCAGTGAATTCGACTTGTATTTGAGCTTCTCYTGCTTTGTGTGAGTCATTGACAGTGTGCCTCTCCATCCTGTGACATTCATTACCACATTCATGAAGTCATCTGTTTCGTGCACAAAAGCTGCTTCTTTGCAGCTAAATTAAATTTTCGGCCTCATGAGTTTTTACATGTTAGTTTGCTACCACCTAGAACAGAATGGGCACACCAGAGGTTATTTAAATCATAGTACGATGGGTTAAATGTTTTACTATTGTGCTAGCCAGATTTGTGATGAATCTAAAGAAAAATAGAGGTCAGMTCCCACGTAATAGGTCACCGCAGTTTTTCCAGGTGTATGGATGGTTAAAAACACRGGCAGAAAATTAGTAATACAAAACAAAAGTCAAAATCCAAGATAATTTTGTTTTTTACAAAAGAAACTTTTATTTACAGGTTGCAACAGATTTTTTGAGACTGTAGTCAGTCTGTGTTAAATCTCCTACAAGACACCATTTTAAAAATCAGCTATAATAATAAAAAAAAAAAGTTTCCAAAACATTCCATGTTTTTTTTAATCTGGAAGCTGCTCATGTAATCCAGACTTGTGCAAGTTCAGAAGGCCAGTTTTTTCATGAGGAGGTAGACCCTGGAGTCCACTTCAAAGCCGTGAAGGTTGTTGGCGTCTCCCTGCAGCCTCATGAGGAGACCTCCGTAAGACACATAGGCAGAGCTGAAACATCAAGCACATCAGTGGAATAAGACTAACCACAGCACGTGATAAACAATACAAAAATGCACATTGTTGTACACAGTTCACACTTAGATGCACTCAAATTTACATTSGATCTGTCTGTTAATAAGTTTTAACTCACAATAACATACGTAGCCATTTTACTTGTGAAAATCTATTAAAGACAATTTACTTACAGACGTGTGGCAGCTTCTGTTGAAGTCTCGTCACCTTCAATCTTATAGACTTTCCCATACATCACATATTCAAACTGGTCTGCTCTAGAAATGTGAATATAAATTGAGAGTAAAAACCTCAAACAGCAAAAACAAAAATTATGCATGTTGGATGATTTGAGGAAAGAATGCATGGACTGCCTTACCGGGACGGTCGATCATCCTGAGGATTGTACTCTCCATCATCTGGTGTTCCATCCTCGTATAATGTGCTGGCAATTACCAGTCTGAACTTGTCACCTTGATGAAACAAACAAACAAACAAAATAAATAAATAAATAAATAAATAAGGTAACTGGTTAGACAGATATTTCTGGGCATAAGTACTTTGGCTTTTTGTTTTGTTTTGTTTTGTTTGTCTGTTCTGGTAATGCTGTGTGCAAGTCAAACTTTAATTAAACAAACAATAATAACTTAAAAATAGTCATTCTTACCAAGATCCACAGGATAAATCTGATTGTTTACATCCAAGATGAGGTCCATCTTGAACGATTCACTTTCACAATGTAGCCGAGACACTATAATAAACACATTTCAGATTAGAATAATTAAAGTTTATAAAAATATTTCTGTACGCTGCTATCAATGAGCCAGACTTTTTGTAATGTTTATATCTTAATTAAATTGTGACATTAAGAAACTAGACCACAGCTTAGAGTAGATAAACAAATAAATACTAATAAGAAAAAAACTGAAGTGCGCAGCTCTAGTTTAATAATATCACAATTTATTTCATTATATACCTCTGTCAAACTTCTTGCCATCGGGGTCAATGTCTTTTACATCAAATATATCTTCAAATAGAATTCCAGCCATCTTCTTTCAAATCTGTGATGAATGTGAGAAAAAGATAATCTATTTATTAAACCCGTTTTATTATGGCTTGAACTGTTAACAACGAATAAACATATGTAGAGAGTGAGGTAAAAAAAATTAAACTTTTTTCAAAGCAAAATAATTGAACACGACACGGAAATTTTTCTTTTAAAAACGTATGGCTAACAAGTCCATATCAACTTCTTATAATGATCAAGTTTTTTATCATATCAAACTTRTACTTTATCTGTTTCCCATTTTTGGCTAACTGTTAGCGTTAGCATACAGCTCATATGTTTTATGCTTACCGTAAATGAAATATACAAGATGAAAGTAAACGTAGAATCCTCACAGCCACTCTATTCTGTTCGATAGTGMGCTCCGTATAAGCGTGAATTTCTATTTCTTTTTTTTTTTTCTTTTATTCGATTATAGGTTCATTCATTGCTATCTGAAGCATCCTGTACAGCGRGCATGAACAATGTGTTCAACCTTTGACACAGGAAGTACTTCCGGTTTTAAAAAATATTTTTGTATTAAAAATAAAACAAATAACGAAGTTAATTAAATAAACTATTGAACAGAACTATGCATATAAATTGTATAAATTTAAAAATACATACGTACAAATGTACGTGCTTTATAAAATTAAAATGTGATTTTTTAAAAATAGTTTACGACATTATTTCTTACTTTCCGGCCTACCAACAGTTGCTAGTTAGTTTAGCGTCCTTTTTGGCCGTAGTTGCTAGCTAACTGTTTGTATTGACTGACAAWAAAAAGAACGAGCGACGAACAGCCGAAAATGTACTTTATAAATCTTAGGTGGGAAGTAACATGTCGGAGTTCATCGTATATGCCAATTATCCTACGCAAATGACGTGCGAATAAGGTAAAAAGGTGGTGTTGTTGATCTTCTCGTAACGTTAAGTGAGCTAGCTCGAATAGCTCGTCAAATGCTATCACCTTGAAAAACTATTGTTTTTAATACTAGCAGAAATTATTAAAGCCATGTGGCCAGAAAATACTTGAAATGTTGGCAACTTTATTTGAAGTTTATATAAAATACGTAGTTATTTTCTACAGCACTTCTKGATTCATCGGCAGTTGCAGTTTTTCCATTCAGATTTCTCGTGGCTATTTCTTATTAATTTGCCATCTTTTCGCAGCTTACGGGAATGCTCCCTGGATTATAAACGTTGATGAATGAAAGTAAGAGAAGTCCTTCRTGTTCGAGAGGGTCTTTAATGTTTTTGTTACTCATATGAGTTCCAGGGAGCCAGCCAAGATGGGTGACYTCTTGGCAACAGAAGCCGATCTTCTAGGGATGATCAAAGAGGTAACATGATATCAGAGGGGGGAATTTGTGAATCAAAATGTTGTATGACAGATATAACAAGACAAATGTGCATGTTGAGTATTTGTTTTGACCCTAAACATAGTTTCATCCTGCTCTGGTTAAGGTGGAGTAAATCAAAGCTCGTTYTTTCTGTCTTTTGTAGTACCTTAAATTTGAGGAGTTCGAAAAAACTGTTCAGATTTTTGACAAGGAGTGCAAAATGAAAGGCAAGCTTGTGCCAAAGCCAAGAGGAAGTACTCTCAGAGACTCCAAGATCCAAGTCATTCAGGTAAAAGCCATATCTCTTTTAGTCTCTAAAACCTTTTTTGTTCTTTTAAATTTATTTTTTCCCTGCAGATGTGAAATTTGATTACAAAGAGTGTTGATAATATCTAACAATGCTTACTTAAAAAGTATATACACAACCTAACAAATCAAGCCAACCAATTCACAAATCTAAAAGTTCACAAATTGTGTATACATTGGTCTCTTTTTTCTTCGTGGAAATTCACATTATTGTACACAACCGAGCAATGTTCTAAAAAATTATTTTGTTGTAGATGACTAATGGTTTCCTAACATTTTTTGTGTSTTTTCTAGAATGATCTTCTTAGCTCTTTTGAAGGTGGAGACCACAAGGTGTTTTTTGAAATGTGGACAGAAAATATTCCCTCGGAGGTAAAAAACAGAGATGCAGAGACACAGAGCCTTGAGTTCTACCTTCATATCCATTTTACTATCTACCCACTGAGGAGACACCCAACCAGACAGGTATGTCATTAAATTTTTAGTATTTTTGTTTGTTTAGTAAAAAAAACGATCATAAATATATTACAACATGCTATTTTCAAACTGTCCACTAAGCTGCGCTATCTGCTTTCTTTTAACAAACACTATACAAGATGAGTTTCCTGTGCTCTGTACCATGATGCATCCTTCATTTTGTTGTTCTCCACTTGTTTCACTCAGTTTTATAAACTCAAAAAGGTGCTAATAAAAACATCTTGTAACAAAATTTATTCCTAAATATAAGTCTTAAATCTGTCTCCAGGACCGAGCTGAGTTTGAGGAGAGGATTTCCCTCTTCAAGCAGTACCTTGAAACTCGTGGAGCAGCACTGAGCCAGACCACAGAGTTTTTGCCTTATTATGCCTTGCCGTTTGTTCCCAACCCCACTGTTCACCCCTCTTTCAAAGATCTCTTTCAGGTGCTTAGAATTTTTTTTTTTTTGTTTTTGTTTTCATATGTTAATCAGTGCTATTGTCAAGTACATGTTTTGTTAATAAATGTTTCTGTGTGCTTAGGACTCCTGGATACCACAGTTGAAGGGTAAGCTGGAGAAATTCCTGTCAGTGACTCTAAAATCCTCCAAGACTCCAAGGCTGCTGACTTTATACGTATCCCTTTTTATTGTGCCTCATCCACAAGGCTTTGCTGTGGAAACCATCAGAGTGCAGATGGATTTATTTATTTATTTATTCAGTGTGTGGGGGTCTTATTCCAACACACCGATAAGATTAACAAATCTTAACAGTTCGAAATGCAAATTTAACAATAATGTTTTAAAATATGTCTCTACAATCAGTCACCCACTTTGACCACAGCTAAATACATAGTGTAAAGATTTGTATTCAAAAAAGTAAGGATTATTTTTATCAAGAGAATTTTATATTTGAAAATGATTTTATAATGATTTGCCATCAAGTCAAAACCCACGTTCATACTAGTATGATTTAGCTGAACAGCTCAGAGTTTTTAGCAGTAATTCCAGGGTCTCAGCAGGAAGAGTTCTTTGCTATAATGTTAAGTTTAGACTGCTGTTTTTTATGTCTTAAAAAATGAAAAAACAAGGAAACACTCTTAATTGATATTTTTTTTAAATAATTGATGTTATTGTTATAAATCTAGTTAAAACATGTTGATAAAGAGATGAGTATTCTTTAACAGATGTAATGCAGAAGGAGGGTGGAAGAAGTGCTAAAGGTAATTAACTGTTAATGCAGTGTTTAAATGTTTTATCTAGCCATCTATCTTTATTGAGATAATTTTATGTCTTTGCTATAAAACCCATTATAT